AAACGATGTGATGATGAAGATGAATATAACAATGAATATCGAATTATGATTTAAGTTTAACTTACAGTAACTTAACGCAGTGGTAAACGCTTCGAGGATGTACACGTTGATATTTTTTTTTTTTTGCATACATCCTTATTTTCAAATAAACTTATTTGTTATTTTATTTGGAATAAATATTGGCTCTTTTTATTTGTAGTTTTCATTTCAAATCAAAAGTACCCAAGCCTGCTTTATATAAAATGAGAAGACCTGAAGAACTAGTTGAACTCGAATGGATTTAACGTAGTTCACAAATTCACCGTTCTCATAACGTAGAGCGCAGCAGAAAATCCCTGACTGTTTACACTATCGGTATTTCAGAACATGAGACACGAAGTCCCCTAAGATGATAGGTCTATCCTATACCTAGTCGGTGCCGCTAGTCACTTATTGTCAGTGTTTTGTCTATTATAAATCGTTTCGAAATTTAAATTTGTCCAGATTTTCCCGCACTCGTCTTAGTTACTATTCTTTGTCACTTAAGACGCTGCAAAATGTCCTAGTAAAACTCCGGAGGAGATATACATCTATAAAGAAATATTACTTATCTATGATTTCGTACCTCCGACGAAGTATATTTACAATTGTACATCATTTTCTGTAAAATGGTGCGTATGTGTTGCATATGTAAATTAGAGAATGGAGCTGTTGATGATATTTCTTTCCATGGGTAAGTAATTTGTAACATTTTATGGTATGTACTTAATTTAAATACAATGTTCATCAATTGGGGTAAAAGGTTATATTACCGCATTTGACCCCCAAAACTACTCTGTGCGATTCTTAGAACAGCTTTGGTATCCTACCATCCAAATTTGTATTACTTATAATTACAATTTATATATATTCTGTAATTTTGTTTTTAGTATTCCCACAAATGAAGAAGTAAGAGCCGAATGGTATAAAACCATAGGCCGGGAAGTGAATAAACATAGTACTATATGCAGCAAACACTTTGAAGATACAGATTTTATTTACAAAGTAGTTGGAAATAATGTGAAAAGGTTTTTAATTTCCACAGCTGTTCCATCTGTATTACTTACTCAATCTAATAGGTATAGTTTTTTAAAATATTAATATTGTTAATAATGAAACATGTTTTGTTATTAAAATAAACTGTATACTTTCAGTGTTCAAAACAAAAATATCAAGCTTAATAATTCTACATGCCATAATTCAGGATTGGAAGCCAATCTATCAAATGACTCACACTGGAGTGTTGATGATGAAGAAGATGAAGAAAATAGTACAAAAAGAAAGTCAGTCTCTTTTTTAGGTTCTTTATATGCTATATTTTTCTTACTATTTTTTAATAGATTTTTAGAAATCGTTTTAGTATTACTACACATAAGTTTTAACAATTGATTTAAATGCTTTGAAATACTGTTTTCTTTAGGACAGACGATGAGCTCTCAGCTTCAACAAGCACCAAGCGCCAGTGCAATGCACGCTGTATCAGAGATTTGTGTAGAGAAGATTTTACTTCTGATTTAAGTTATAATATTGTTCAAAATTTTGTGACGAAAGCCAGACAAAAGCAGAAAGTTTTAAACGAAACAGTTAACAGGCTGAATCTAAAAGTGGAAAGCTATCAGTTGTTATTAGATCACTTCAAAAAGAAAAGTGTAAAATCTGTTCAACTGAACACAGACACGGATAATGCATCTTCTAAACAACGGCAATCACTTATTAATATTGAACTTGACCACGATTACCTTGGATGTAAGGTATAATAACAATAGCTGTGTATGTAATGGATACTAATCATGGCTGTGTATGTAATAGTTACTAATAAATGGCTGAATACAGCCATGAAATTGTCATATACAGGGTGATTGTACCACTGAAGGAGTTGAAAGGCAAGCCGCCTACTTTGTCGCTTAAGTGCTACGACCATAAACGTGTTATTGGTACTTTTCTCCTGCTGAGCGATCTTCTAACAAAGAGTTGCTGTTACATCACTACGGCAACATTTTTTGCGCTATGTTTCGGTGCGATAGTGAAAAAACTGACTATGAAAACTTACATGTACGTACCTTTTTTTTTTTATCTTCAAAAGACATCACAAAAGTTTCCAGAAACATTAGCAACAAAATGTTTCTTGAAATTATCCTTGTGTCAAAATAACTTTCCATTTCTGTTCAACTGACGTGTGAAGTTTGGCATGGTCCTCAGTCTTGCTAATGATAACCCTCGGATAATTCCTCGTCAGTAAGCTGATTAACGAATTCCTGGAGTTTGCCGATATAAACACAAGAAGTAACTGTTTCATTAAAAAAATATGGGTCCAATAATCCTGCTCGTGGTACACCACACCGCGATTTTTTTTTAATTTAAGTTGGAATGTTCGCCAGGGTTTGTCCTCCGCCTATGTTTTTGTAGTTTGAGAATTCATGTATGTATCCACTTGGGTGGAACCACGCTTCGTCGCTGAACCATGTACTGTCCAAATTTGTTGGATGTACCAGTATAAATTCTTCGAATGCACAGAATCTTGTACGTTTGTTGTAATCCGTCGGAGGTAGTTCTTGCATAATGCACACACGATATGGATGTAGTTTTGCCCTTAAACAAATAAAAGAGGCGGCTTGCTTTTGGCCCCTCCAGCGGAACGATCACCCTGTATATATCTATGAAAACACCCAACCACCTCGACAGTTCGCGAGAGAGTGCAATTTTTTTACTGCTGCGCGGTTCCACTTGGATTGTGGGGATGAAGAATTCCGGAAGGTTGACCGTTACAGGTATTGGACGCTTTGTATCATTCGGCCGAGTTGAATTGTTTTTGCCGGTTAAACCTTGAAGGACCCAAACACTTGGTACGGCCGTGATATATATAAGGCCAGATAAATAAACTGGAAGTGAAAAACTGCGATTTTTCAATAGTACGTTTAAGTTTGTATTTATTTTATTTTATCTTTTATTCATGTGTCTTTGTTTATACTCATCCTATCATTATACTAAAGGGTTTTCCTTTTAAAATAAATATTATTATTATGATTACGTTATTTGAAATGTATTTTACTGTCTAAAATAATGTATGAGATTGTCAGTGTAACAGAATACGTTTTATTTTTTGTTAAATAATACTCACTGCATCATAATACAGTATGAATGTGTGCTATATGATTCGACACACATATATATATACGTTCGTTGCGACTGTTAAACTGTCGTATCAACAATGGAAAAATAAAATATTTTACTCGAAGTTACATATAGTAATACATATACGAGTTCATTATAGCAATATTAAACGTGTTTACTTTTTTGTACGCGAAAAAAAAATCTTACGTTCGCCGGGCCAAGAAACCAAGACCTATTTGTAATACGTTTACATAGTTCCTTTGCTAGTTTTCGGTCGTATCGAACACTCGTGATCTCGTGGATCATAATGGGGTCCAAAGTGGTCCAAAGGGTCCACATAATCTGGCTAGAAAAAACCATTGGATGACAAATTTATTCGTATATTCACATCTGTGGCCTTATATTGATTATTATTGGTGATAATTGCTGCAGCGGATGGCACCACTGGTTTCGAAATAAAAATGTTTCGGGCGGAAAAAATTTTCGTAGTTTTACCGTAATCGACAAGATGTATACGTTCTCTGGGTAGGTGTAACGCTCAAGATTTTTCTACGGCTATCAAATATCAATTTAATTACATTATTAAATGCATCGCGTAACGCGTTGCTAACCACGTCTAGTCAATAAGTGATATCCGTACGTTATTCGCTTGTGTTTATGCATCTATACACCGTGCGTACAGGTGGGCGTATATCAGGACGGCGTAGCGCGAAAAAGTTATATTCCCGCGACAAGGAATGTAGCGACTGAATCGGACTCAGCTGGGAATCGAACGCCTCGAATGTGAAATAAAATGTTACGGTTCCTGTCACGTCGAAGAGCGCGCAGTGTCAGCGGGCAAACCGCGTCCTCCCAGATCAAAAACCAGCGACTGCTCAGTAACAAGAATGTTGTTCCGTGCAGAGTCGTTCTGCTCGACGGAACCGACCTGCCAATTGAGTTGTCAGTAAGTCGATCACTTTGCCGGCTGATTAGTATTCTTTCCTGTCAGTTATATTTTTAGCTAAATGTCTCTGAAAGCTGTTTTACCTAAGCACTGTTAATAGTATTCAACAGTAATCCATACTCTTACAACAAATTGGATTTGTAACTCGAGTACTGCTAGGCTGTTGCAGGTACTGATAAGATACATTTACCAACAAAAATTAAGAAACAAATTAATCGGAGACTGTAATGTGTTTTTTTTTGTCGCTTGTTTGAAAAAGATACTCCGAAAGCATTTCTGTGCCTCACAGTTTTGTTGAATTCAAAGGAAAACTGGGAGTATCTGATTACGATGAATGAACAGAGTTAGTTGGTATTGTACTATAGATTTACATGATAATTTCTGTTGCAGAAAAAAGCATTGGCTAGTGACTTATACGAACAAGTATTTTATAGTTTAGACTTAATAGAAAAGGATTATTTTGGACTGCAGTATACAGACAGCAATAATGTTCAACATTGGTTGGACCCGACAAAGCCAATAAAGAAACAAGTAAAAAGTATGATTTGTTTTTCTATATATGCAAAGATTATGAATACTATATGTATTTAGATCTAGTCGACAGAAAATATAAATATATATTTGTTTCTATAGTTGGGCCCCCTTACACTTTACGACTGAAAGTAAAGTTTTATTCTTCCGAGCCTAATACATTACGCGAAGAGTTAACGAGATATCAGTTCTTTTTGCAACTGAAACAAGATGTTTTGGATGGAAAACTTCACTGTCCTCATCAAGTTGCAGTTCAGCTAGCTGCTTTAGCTCTGCAATGTAAGAATCCTGTACCGTTAATATATTTCTGATCCCATGTTATACGATTCAAAATACATTTGTCTATATTCTCAGCCGAACTTGGTGACTATGATCCTGCCATGCACAGTGCAGCAACGGTGTCAGAGTTTCGATTTGTGCCGGGTCAAACGGAGCAAATGGAACTGGAAATACTCGAGGAATATGTAAAGTGTTCGGGCCTTAGTCCAGCACAGGCCGAATCAGCATATCTCAGCAAAGCTAAATGGTTGGATATGTATGGTGTAGACATGCATACTGTCCTCGGAAAAGATGCCTGCGAATATTCTTTAGGTTTAACTCCAACTGGAATACTAGTCTTCGAAGGCACACAAAAAATAGGCTTATTCTTCTGGCCTAAGATCGGTCGCCTAGACTTTAAGAAGAAAAAACTGACGTTGGTTGTAGTGGAAGAGGATGATGAAGGCAGAGGAGAGCAAGAGCATACATTTGTTTTCCGATTGGTTAATGAGAAAGCTTGTAAGCATTTATGGAAATGCGCCGTAGAACACCATGCTTTCTTTAGATTAAGGGCACCCGTCAAAGGCGCCAGTGGACGTCAGAATTTCTTCCGTATGGGTTCACGGTTTCGTTATAGCGGTAAAACGGAGTTCCAAACGACTCAGTTAAATCGAGCACGCAGAACTGTGCAATTCGAGCGTCGACCCAGTCAAAGATACGCCCGCAGACAGAGTCATGTTTTAAGAGAACGGCAACGTCAACAAGTGGAGCAGCCGCAACCTACGCCACCTGCCAGTAAGTTCTGAAGTACAATAATTGTAACAGCGAGTCTTGTTCGAGGGAACACAGGATCAGGAATGCTCTGACTAATCGAATTAGAAATTAAGAGATGTTTCTTAAATTTTCAGCCGAGGAACAGCCCCTACAACGTCAGCCGAGCCAGTGTAGTACAAAGTCTTCGAATTCCAGCGTACACCCTACATCGTCACCGTTAGTAGATTCCTTATTGAAATCACTTGCCAAAGATCAGCAGCCTTTGGAAGCCAGAAATCAGACGACCGTCGCCAGCAATGAGAAAGAAACGGAACCCATGAAGACTAGTTTAACGATCGAAAGCATAACTAATCAAGTGCAATTAGTGCCAAATAATCAAGTGGGCGGTATTTCGTCACTGCCACCTCGCACACCGATACCGCCGGAATCACTGAAGTGTAATATATTGAAAGCGAAATCTCTGGAGCAAGGGAAAAACTCGAATTTAGTGTCGATCAGTTCCACGGATGCACCTGCAGTTGCCGCAAAGAACAATCAACACACGGACGCGGCAACGATTGTGTCTGTGGTAAGAATACGACTTGATCCTGCAAAATTATTAATCAGCGTACATAATGTTAAAATGGCATATTTCAGATAATTTATTGCAGTAGGAAATTGCTCAGTTATTTTAGAGTGTTATTGAACCATTATCGCAAAACATATTCGTTCCAAATCCGAGTTCTGTAGTGTCTGATTGCAATTGTTTATTAAAAGCCCGTTAAATATGTTTCGTGTTATACTTTGTTTGGTATATATTTTCTGTTGTTATCACGCACAAGCATATTTTAAAAACGACATATACTTGTTTCACTGTTCCCGGGCTTTTAGGCTTTAGTTGTGACTTGTTTGCTTTTTTGCATTGTTCGTTATTTAGGGCGGAGACAAGCTGACCCTTTCTGTGAGTGGAACAACGACCACGAATCCGTCTATGGACGACACTGTTACTGTAACCCATTTCTCTTTGGACAGCTGGGGGCAAATTGAGCAGAAAACAACCCAGTTAAATCCGAAAATATCGAATCAATCGCAGAATCCATTCAATCCATTTACTAGCGACAATAGCAATGACGTTACCGCTAATGTCTCCGAGAGTGTCGAAGATGATACAAAGGAGGAAGAGGAAAAGAAAGCGAACACGAACCCGTTCATAGATTCCAATCCATTTTTGGGTTTGCTGAATCCGTTTAAAGAGGTGCAACAACCGGTCGACAAGAAAGTCGAACCTGAAGTCGAGAAAAATGGAGCAAGGGTTGTGAAGACTGAGGAGATCCAAACAACTACTACAACTCTTACCCACAAGGTGTGGCTTATTCTTGATGCTTGCGAGTTAGCTACTGTAATCAATATTTTTGTATATACTGTACTGTAATTGTCTAATTTGAAAAAATGCTTTGGTTCGCGCACATTGCCCATGTAAACGTATGCATATTTCTTAATATCGGTAACATATGGCTGTACTTTAAATTAACGTCTGTCCAAAATTTATTTACGGTATCTATAGTTGTCTTTTTACAGTTATTCGCGTAATAAGTTCTATATAACAATTGTTTCTGTGTTACAGGACGACAATACTGCGGTTACTGACATTAGTCCATGGCTGGTTGCTGATCCATTACAGACAACGACTACCGATCAAACTCCGATTAAGCATACTGTTATTACCAGGAAGACTGTAATTACAACGCAACTCTGAAGTAATTGTTCAGTGGAACGCATATACGATACCGAGTAACGAAGGTATTTATTAGACCGTGTCTTCCTTGAACTGCATATTAATTTACTTGAAAGTGCCTATAACAGTACGATACTGCCTATTTGGAGAAATGAAACGCAATCACTTAACCTTAAAACGGGAACAATCAAACAGTCATACAGTTTTAATAACGACAATTAGTTTACGCTTAATTTCGTGTAAAATTAACTTGAACATCTAGTGAATATGAATATAATTTCTAGGAATAAATCGATTAGCTTCTTGTTTGAATTACAAACATTTACTCTGTACAAAATATATATATATATATATCATTTAGAAAATGATATGCTTCTTAGTACCATAATTGCAATACTTAAAAGCAATAGGCCTTTGTTATAAAAAATACTATTCCATATTTATAGTATGTTTGCTTCCCTTTGATAATTATTTTTTACTTTCTACTTCGAAGCATATTTCCGATCAAGTTCTGCCATGCAAGTTGTTTAGACGTGTTTTTGCATTTATTGTAGAGTAAGATAGATTATTTTACATTAAAAATAGTAAGTGTCCTTGCACCCTGTTAGTATGTATTAGAACTTATACATACATTAAAAGATAATGTATGGTGCTTTTATTCAATGGTAAAGACATTTAAACCCCCGGGTACACAAACTTTTAAAATACTGTTTTATAGAAATTACTTTTTCATATTGTTTATCGAATAATTTATATCAATTTGTATAAACGGTGTGTGCTGCGTACAATTCACGAATGAAGTTTGAGTACCCAAGCAGTATAAATACACGTATTTAAATGCCTGTGAAATAGTTTTTTATACTTGCCATAGTGCCTTTAATTGTAAGAAAGAGAAAACTATTGTATTCCAATTTTATATTCACTTCAATCGATTTACGGTTTTATTTATGGTAAAACTTTTCCACGTTGAAAGTATTTATATTTGTGAAAGTTTTGTACATTATTATCGGTATAATATGATTACTTCATAAAAGACGATTAATTTTTTTTTTATTAATCTTCTTTCATGAAAGATTAGAAAAATATGTATAATTTCTCGTAGAAAAACTGACAATTTGTGTCAGTTTACCTGCAAGTATAATACGATATACAATTTCTAATGTATGATATGATGAAATTTTATTGTTTTATACGGTTACGGTATTTTGTAACTAATGCATCAGTATTTTGTAAAAAGAAGCGTAGTACAATGAATTTAGAAAAAAATCTGATAATCATGTAGAAATTAAAGATCTGTTAAAGTTTATTGTATTGCGCGAATCATGATCATACAAACGGCAACTAAACGGTAGCTAAATAATATTTTTAATTTTGTCGGATTATAAAACATAAATTCTACAAAATAAGACTCGTCTTTTTCGACGAATTACGTAAAAGGCTGTTGAAGTACTTATTCTATTCTATTTACGAGCATTTATGAAAAGTGGAACAAGGCGCTATATTTTATGTTAATTTTATGTATTTAAATATATTGTATTTAATAGCAATAAGCTAAGTACATATGATACTATTATTTGAAGATCTAATATATCTATTACCTGTGTTTACAGTGCTATTATTGATCAATACCCTATTGTATTCCGTCCTAAAGTGTTATATACATATACTGTTATATACATTATGTATAATTTTTGCTTTGTAATAAAAAAGTACTATTAAAACGTTGCATTGTAGATCTTTTAAAGGTATTTGTAATTACATTCCTACACATTGTACAAATTAGGCATCGACATGTTTAACGCACTGACAGCCCTATCGCAATGTAAAATTCAATGTTATGGAAATTATAATTATTAGAGTGAAATAGTCAACAATTTAGGGTTTACAAAATTCGATAAAATTAAAGAAGTGAATAAAAGCATGCTAAATTTTTGGTACTATTGTTTGATGATGTTGGTCTGACAGTCAGTGTATTAAAAATGGATAAAGCGATGGGACCCTTTTTAACATATTGTACAAGTTGTATATGATAAAAACAAGCAATAGTATGGTTAATCAACGTTTAGGACAAGATTAGAAAAAATGTCTTCGGTAAAAATTTGTAAATACTTAAACAACTCAAAGGAAATTCTTAGTTCCTATCTGCATTTGTGAATAATAAATTAATAGTTTTCTGGAAATTTATCCTAAAAATCTATCACACAATTTTATCTTACTGGTGTGATAATAAAAGCAATGTCATCAGGGGAATTTTATCTCACTGATACGAATATTTACTAACACGAAATTCCTTCTAGATTCTCCGATATCGGGTGCTATATTAAAATCACCAAGGTTGGTTTAAATGTTATAGCATATTTGTCCGAAATTCAGTAATAACACTTGAAATCAAGGCCATCTTACATGTGACAAAACAAAAAAATTAGTTTTCCTCTACACCAGTTCGTTCACTCGTAACAACGTGTTAAAATACTGCAGGATTTATTCATCTGTTCCAAACTACATTCCCAAGCGCATACGTAAATAGACCAATTCCATAGCACGTAAATATTTCAAATACAATAAAAGGGACATTCTCAGCTTCAACATCAGTCTCCTCAGGTATGGGAAAATTTTTGCTAATCATTTACTACCCGAATGAAAATTCGGTCCATCTCTACTTCTGAAAAAAAAAAAATGGGACTGATATCCTCGCATCCTTAAATGCGTCAAACTGATCAAGGAATGTCACATGCTCTAAAATAAATCTAACTTCACACACCGATGCTCTCTTTCCTCGGATAACCTACACTTATTTAGTTGAATTCATCTTTAACCAACGTATTACCATCTCCAAAACGGTTTCATCTAAACGGGGGGTCCGACCTCGTCCTATTCACTATTTACAAAGCTCATCTTTAACCAACGTATTACCATCTCCAAAACGGTTTCATCTAAACGGGGGGTCCGACCTCGTAAACGGATAAAACCGACATTTTATCTTACTACCTACTGAAAAGTTATCACAAACCTCAGGTTCAAATATTAGCTGTACCAATATCTAATCCACTGATCTTCATGTTCTTAGGGTGACATGTTTCAAATGGAAAACTATCTTCCGGGGATCTTCCGTGGAGTAACAATCAGGGACTTCTACCACAGACAAACGTAAAATACCGGTATTTGTCGGTTGTACTTTCGTAACCCTTATAGAAATCGAAATACGAAAATATCGGTACATGAAAATACAAGTATATTTACCGATAATATTTTCGGCTTTCCTATTTTGTTATAATTTTCATGGTATTTGTAAGAAGTTATTTAAAACCTGTATTATTTTGTTACCGGTATTATGTTAGCAAAGTTATATCGGAAACGATACAGTACCGAAATCAAAGTAATCATGTACCAGCATTTTTCTGGTAATATGTATAGTGTGATCGCGAGTGTAACAGAATACAATGTCACAAAAGTTACAGTCGTCGGACCGACTTGAAATTACCATGTATACTACAGAAAAACCGAAAAACAATCGATACTTATTTCGATTTTCGGTAGTATATCGGTTTCGGTATAGCTTTGCTGGTATAATACGGTATCAAAATCATTCCGATATTAAGTCCCTGGTAACAATGGTGTGGCGTGCGAGGAAGACCACGATATATATAAGTGAAACCCAAGCATAGATCCTCGACTTTAAAAACGAATACTGATTTCAAGAAACAGTGGGATTACTTATTGATGCTCCTAATACTTCCGTCTCACGCTTAAAACTACTACAGTAAAGCTTCGATAAGTGTTTGACGGCTCCTCGGCACTGAACATTAAATAAAAATTAAATAAAAGAAATATTATTGGCTTCAACATTCCAAGTTCTAACACTGCTAAACCTCATTAAAAAGTCAGCGTTACACCTGGGAACCTTTACTTGTCAGTGGCGAGGAGCCTTCGAACACTCATCGAGGATTTACTGTATCCCCCGCGCATGTACAGACGTGTATAATACATTATTGCGTATCACCGCGAGACTCGCTAACGATTCTCCGGCAACAGACTATATCAGACAGGTGTCTCGGGGTTGTTGTCCCATTCCTCGGCGTCTTGTCGCGACAGAAATCGCGGATGCGTGGTCTCACGGACCATTAAGCAGACCGTGTCCGGATAATCGACGTCCACGTATCGTTCGCCGTCTCGCGGTAAACTTTTATTGGACGACACGGAGCTACTGTTCTCCTCGCTGCAATCGTGTCTGAATACGCTGTCCGACTGCGAGTGGGTGGGCGTGGACAGTTCCGAGACCAACGGCGTTGATTCGTCCTCGCTCTCGCCGGGCGCAGGAGAGGCGGGCAGTGTGCCCATCAGCCGATCTTTCAGTTTGCCCAGCTTTTCCAGACTGGTGTTTGGAACCGGCACTGATATGACTATCTCCTCGTTCAACGTCGACGTGGATCGTCGTTTCTTGATGGCCGTCGAGATTGTTGGCTTAAGAGGTATGCTATTCGACACATAATTCTCGTCCGTTGATTTCGACCTGAACGCCGGCCTGGGCGACGGGGGCGGAGACACGAACAGAGAGGCGGGCCTGCTACTGTTCGCATTACCGCCACCTTTCCTTGGGTCTTTTCGACCGTACGAACAGGCCGATCTTGTGCTCAGTTGAGAGGTGATACTGCGCTGTGAATTGGTACGCTGTAGATGAATGGTGGACTCCAGGGAGCTGTCGTCCGACGTTTCCGGTTCTTCGTTCACCGGCACCCAGTGCAGAAGCGGATTCGACTGGAGGATCACGTAATCGGTGTCCTGAGCCCCCGTCGATGTCGATCCTGGAACAAAGGTGTTACCGCGTTTTGCTTTTACTTGTCCTGTGCACGTAATTCCGATCGAAACAGCGGGTGTATCCGTGCGTTCGAAAGTTGTTTTCTTATTCGATGAAAGATTAAAATGTTTGGGGAACGAGATAACGTTAATTTGCTTTTTTTTTTATTTCTTTTTTTTTTATATATATATATATATATATATAATAATACGTTCGAACAGTCTACAGAAATCGTACATGTAGTACAAAAAAATACATCGACAGCGATGAAAATATAACTAGCTTTTCTTGGGTGTTTTACTTTGGTATATAAAACCTTTCTTCGCGTGGAAGCTTATCTTTATCTAAGTGTACAAGATCTATCAGCGTTTACGTCCAAAATTGGGAACGTATTTAACAAACACGCGACGATAGTAACAATTATCACAGTCTGGTTTACATATACATATATGTTATACGGGAGTACATAACGGGTTCGAAGTTTGTGATGTGTACAACAGTATATCGAAGTATATATCATACATTGGCAAGAGAAATAATACAACGACCGTTTTATGCGCTAATAATACATTCAAAGAGTAATTCTGTCTGGTAATGGTTTCCTAGAGTTCCTAGGAATACAAAATGACATATAATCATTCCCTCGCAAGCGTTGTCATTAAGGTACTAAATTATGGCACGATGCTCTTTTATTACAGCTACGGTAACGCATACATTCAGATCACTATCGCCAAACGCTATTTATTAGACGGCATATACGTGTGTTCGTTTTATTCGACATATGATATTCATTTTATATCTTTTATCTATTCACATCCGGTCCAGTCTCGAACGACGCATTGGCACATTTTCAAGCAGTCGATGACGAGGCAACGGTCTGAAGGAAGTAGCCGACAACTGCTTTTTGGCCTCTTCAGCGTGCGGACGAACTCGGAATTTGTACATATATACAAAAGCTAAGTTTCTTTTTTTATTCGTTTTATACACGGGTGCACCTATTTAAATTATGGTAGAACCGCTAACCATTTAACCAACGGATAAATTGACGGGGATTTCCAGGTGAAATAGAACTGTGAGTAATGAGTGCACAGGAACCATCTTCGAATTTCGACGATGGAGTCGCATCGGTGCTGGTGTAAGCATGATACGTGATCGAATTCTAGTCGCCCCTCGATTCGAATCGTTAAACGTTTGTACTGTACTCGAATACGACGTCACTGTTTTGGTCTTGCTGCGGCGGTTCCTGAACTATAACCAAGGGCAGTGAAAGTACTACGGAAGGGAGCTCACCTGAATGTGAGTCCGTTGGTACCACTGCAGGAGATGGTACATCTAACACATCCTCGCAGGCTTCTTCGTTTAATGTTTGTAACGCTCCGCAAATCATTTGCTCCTCTAAAGTCACCTGAAAAATTACCCCGTTATTGGATATTCCCGGTACATATCGTAACATTAATCGTGCAAATAATTTATAACTTCTAATTATTCCGTCCAGTATGAAAACACTAAATATTGCTCTGCTTACCTGGTACTAAAATCGAGCACGATTGTAAAGGAAATCATATTTTATATTAAACAACTGGTTATAGGAATGAAATTATATGACTTCAAGGTTATGTTTTTAAAAAGCTTACTTGTTTTTCCATAATGGATTGTTTGATCTGATCCCTCCTAGGAGCACCATCGGTTCTCGACGTTCCTTTCTCTTTTTCGACATGGGTAGGTACACGTATTGACGTGGTTTGTAAAGTATGATCTAAAGTAAAGTAATAGAAACGTAGTTTTTTTTTGTGTATGTTCAATTTTTGTGGTTCAGTCATAGGAGAACTCTTGTGCATACCCTTTCGCTGAATTTGTTCTGATCCTACGGTAAATCGGACACTACGAGAACCTTCCTCGTGGGTACTAAACGACGACAATTCTAATTCCCTAAGTGATGCGACCACCATACGGAACAATTCCCAATCCCCGAATGTCATTTTAAGTACCTACAAGCATAATATGTCTTGTCAGTAAGCACACGCCTTTAAAAAAAGAAAAAAGAATGTAAAAACTAACCTTTTTCAACTCATGTAAGTCGCAGTGCAGTAAAACCCTGCCGTTAATGTTATTATCCTTAATAACATTTTTGTACTGTGGTGCTTGATTGGGGCTCAGACTATCAATTCTATCGAGAAGGTCGCAAACACCGTTCACAGTTAGAGATGAAAGTCTGATCTCCAAAATTTCGGACTATAAAGAGAAAAAGGGAATAACGGACGTTTTTGTCGTGCAACAAAAACCATTGCGTTCGATTCTATATTATATGCATGTTTTACCGGTAGAGTTGTTGTCGCAGAAAGTGCCGGTTGAATTGTGGGTGGTTCCATAGGGGGCATTTGTACCCAAGGTGGTGCCTGCCAATCGTATGACGGTTGTACGCACCAAGATGGCGTCGCTGAAACCTGTGGCGGCGCAGGTCCTTGCAGACTCGGTGCCCTAATTAATTTCATGTTGCGGTTGGTGTAACCAGGTCTAGCTGCGCTCCACTGTTCTTGGCTATTGGTATTCATAGTCCAAGGACTGTACTGTTTGTAAGGCCCAAGTCCTGTCTCCTCTTCGATGGTCTGTTGCTCCTCTTTGATCTTTTTCTTAATGTACGGATCGAGATTGATCGTGAACGGCAAAAATATCTTCATATCGCTGATCAACAGACTGGAACGATGGAAAGTCAGGAAAATGTCCAGCTTTCGTTCGTCCCTGTCCATTTCCAAAAGAGGTTGGACTTCTTTAAGCACTGGTATCTGTGGGCGTATCCTAGTAATTGGAATAAGGCCAAAAATAGAATGTCGAAGAATGTATATGAAAGTACCAAACGTTAATCGGAAAAAGACGTACTTATCGTAAAGGCTTTTCAACGACATGGAATCGTCCAAGCTATCCTCGTACATATCATAATGCAGGATCAACCAAGACGTTCTGAACGGCCATTGCTCCGTGATGTTGATCCAACTGGCTAAGTGGTACCAGTTGAAATCAATTTGGAATGCTTTCAATAATCTCCCTGATATAAAACAGGCAATCTGGTAAGTATTACACGATGACAGACTGTTGAGAAATGTGCATGCTGAAAAATTGGACCTCAGGGAATGCCCATAAGGCGAGAGAACTCTCTAGATATAGCAGAACGACATACACTGGCCAATAGATGATACGGTATGTAGTTTTCGTGTCGATTATTTATGGAACAGCGAGAAACAGCCAATATTTTAAACGATAAAACACACACGTTCCTTCAAGGTCCAAGTTTTCAGTTTGCATCGGTAACAAACTGGTCGTTTTGCAATTACCAGTGACATAAACGACGTTCATTAATCGTCTCATGCTGCGAGGATTTACGTCGCTGAAGTAATCGTCGGTGAGAAGCATTTTATTCAGATCCTGCGCGCCGCCCAGGCGATTTAAATTGCTGCCAATACTGCTAGCGATCGACTCGCTTAGTCGTAATTTTCTACTGCCTTTTCTACTTTGTGGTTTCAACTTCTCGGTGCTGTTCATTATACCGGATTCGGTACTGAGCCGTCGATTGGAGACCGAATGGTGCATTGTACTAGTGGCGGTGTAATTAACACTCTCCTCGGCTTCGGTCCACGTGGTTTTTCTACTGTGTTGGGCAGTCTGTTGAGCAATTTTCACCTTCCTTAAACCGCTGTTTTGCAAATAGAACGGAAGATGCACCATATTGCGCAAATAGTCGTGCCCCCCGATATTTGATTCCGTGAATAATCTTCTACTATTGACTTCTACTGCCTGTCGAGTGTAATTATTAATTTCTGTTCAATAGTACAACATTAAAAAAAGAGCTGTCAGACAAACCTTGGCAATAATATGTGGATCAATAGCTAATATAACAACGAAGGGATAGCCATTATCACTGAATAATGCTTGTATAGCATCCAGAACTAATAATACTTTATCCTGTTCACAACTGTCCAAACCGTCCACAATTATCACTAACCTACTCTGTTGAGTCATAAAGCTATCCAGACATTTTACCTGTTTTCATATAAAAACACTGTTATTAAGAAGGAAAACCATGCTCCTAAAAATATGCGAGTCCAGAATAACAGTTTGCATACCATTTCTGTCATTAAACTAACTTCGCTTCTCAAAGTTTGTATGAAGCCTTCGCTCTTTAACGTCTCCAATTTCGAAATGCTACGTTGCAGATGTCGCCTCTGAGAGAAAACCAGCGCTTGCAGCGTTCGATTCCACGTGTACAAGTTCGCTATTACACTGACACCCAGTATTAAGACAACAGTTATCATAATAATATGCGCCGTGACTCTTTCTATTGTTGGCCTATAAAAATCGTAACAATTTTCTTTGAAGTTTTGTCGACTTAATTATCGTTGTATCTACTCTTTCGTTAACAAAACACACAGTTGCCAAGACACTGTATACTCACTCATTACTAGAGATGTCAATGAGGTAGACAGTGAGCACAGAAATACCGACGAGTAAACTGCAAAAACAAAACTCGAATATGACTATGTACGGTAGACAGCAAAGATGACGCCACTTCCAAGTTGTGGTCGATTTATCAGGTTTCGGTCTGAATGCTCTGTATAATCTCGTGGACAGAGAGCCATAATCGTTTTCAATGGAATCGTACAGAGATCCCACCATTCGTACTACAGCATTTTCTCCAGCAGATGTTGTCCCTACTCTGGTTTGATCAGTGAAATAGAACTTTATCGGTTGGACAGTGACGTCGTCGTGAACTCGGGTACCGGGAGGATGACAGAATATCACTTGTAGCAATAACTTCAACGAATTTAACTTCGTGGTTAGAGCTACTGTGAAGTTGTACGGCCAGTACCAATCATATCTACAATGTTAATAATAAAAAGCAATGAAACACGAAAGGTCAGAGGATATGCTTCTTTTGCTGCTATTTCTTACCTCTTATTAGCATACCAGATAAGTATCAGAAAAGCGTACGTAGTAATAATAAGACTAATACCGCAGGCAAGACCAGCTATCCATGATTGTAGGGCAAGACCTATGGTGATACCCACTAACAGGGACACGTGAGATACCACTACGAAAAGTAAGAACGAGAATTGGAACACAGGATCTATCCACTGACGAGCAAAGTTCTTCATTTCCTCTGAAAGAATTTTAACCGTTACTTTGAATAGAAATGCAAAGTTAGATCGTCAGTGAACGTCTTTCATGGAATTATTATTACCTTTCAACTTATTCAATAAAAAAGACTTCCCAGAACCCCATTTTGCGTAAAGGCCGACTGTTATAGGCGTTGAAAGTGACGGTTCGCTAAGAATGTCTGCCAATGCACTGCTATATAAATCATAACCTAGCATATTTTCATTATCCTCATTAGTGTTAAGACGTCCTGAAAAAAATGGACATCATTCTTTATCATCACGTTGTTGCCGTATGGTTTTATGTAAAGCAAACTGTCGTTGGTGAGCTGTAGGGCGCAAGGTATCTTAATTCTAAGTAAAGTAGTAACTTACGTGCACCAAATATTTGCCCAATAATCGTCTTTGGATGGTTAATGTCAATGTTGTACGGTGTCTCGCCTTGTCTATTAGGACGGTAAAGCAGCTGGCTATTTTTCGGATTTCTCAGTAATATTTCGACGATGGCTTTCGATCTCGCGCGCATGGCTATATGAAGTACCGTGTCGCCCTTTTTATCGGTCGCCGAAACCTTCGCTTTCTTGTCCAGCAATAATTGCACGATTTCACCGTTCCGCGACCTAACTGCCCGCAGTAATGGCGTGTCGCCGTCTTTCGTCGCGATCTCCAAGTCTGGGTTAGCGTTTAGTAACAATTTTAATATCGGTATATTGCCTTTTTCTACTGCTATGTAAGTTGCGGTTTTCTTATCCTAGAATGATTTCAATAAAATTTGCCTGGTTAGCTAGATTCTGTCTCTCTTTCTCGACAGAACATATTGGTAGTAACCCAAACTTTGAAATCAATAGAAACAGTAAATTCAACTGTGCACGATAGGAGACTTGGACAGAGTGTTTCATGAATACAGGATGATTCCAACGCGGTAATGTCGCGAAATGTACAAGCGTATATCCTCTAATAATCTTCTTAGAAGCTAAACCAACGGATTTACTGGATTAAGGAGGAATCACCGTGTATAATCTATCATCCGAACCAGAATGTTCTTGGGATCTAATAAATGCTTAAAGGCAAACAGAGATATCCTGTCTTCTGTCTGGGATGATAATTTCACATCAATTTTGTCACCTTTCCGGCGATGTCCACGTCCGCGTACTTCTTTAATAGAGATTCAACCACTCCTCTATGACCAGCTTTCACAGCATGAATCAAGTTCGTGTCGCCAGCTCGGTCCTGGATATTCACGTACGCGCCAGCATTCAAAAGTGCGTTAGCTATCTCGTGATGTCCCTCCCGACAAGCTAACGCTAGGGCCGTGCAACCGTCCTTTGAATACTGTAAAGTAATTAAGTAAAAGTGCAATTTATCAGCAGATGGAAAATGATGCCACGACGAACTCGAAATGTTTTGTTGGAGTTGGAAATGAGTATTGGGTTTAACGGAACATAGTGTAACTTGAGAGAATACTTGAGACTATTGTATGAAACATGCAATTAGTACAGATTGTTAACACTTACTAGTAAACTGCAGATATTTATGCATTTATAGCGTTCCTTAACTTGAAAAATGCAATAAAATGAAGACTTCAATGAAGTTTAACACTATTTATGGGTTATATCATCGTAGTAATAGCTCTAGTATGAAATTTTGAAGTGTTTCCCATTTTAATTCCTAGATACTAGTGCCTAGAATTGTGAATTTGCATAAACTTCCGCAGTCTACTTATTGGTGACTATGCTTTGAGCTATTCTGCTCATTTTTATTATATCCTCCTTTTGTTAAATTACTTTTAAGTAGTTTCTTAAACCAAAGTGATTTTGTATATGTATATAATTATCGATGGTGCTTACCATGCCAGCGGTATCGACGTTAGCACCAGCCTTTAACAGAGTATCTACAATTTCTACATTTCCTTTACGCGACGCCCACACCAGCGCTGTAGTACCATACTAAAAATGAAAAACATTATATTTACCGAGGAAACAACAGATCTTTAATTCTTTCGGTACGTTTAGTTTTCAAATCAGCACTTGTACAGTTCATTGGAAAATATATGCTGCACTATATCATATTATCATGTCGTCACCAGTGATCCAAGCAGCAAGATAACTGCATAGCATAACTATAAATCCACCCTAAAATTTTCATTTCTTATGCATTGTGGTTTTTGGGTGGTTCTACAGTTATATCACGCAGTGTACATGTTTATCGCGTACAGAACTATTTTAAAAGTACACGTTTCGGTATCACATTTAAATATCATGGGTCACCGACGACTCACCCAGACAGACAGTTCATTTAGAAATACATATTTCGCTATCTGGTGCAGCCTCAGATACTCTTTAGTGAATACCGTGCACTTGAACTTGTATAATAATGAATTACCTTATCGCCAACATTAACTTTAGCACCATGAGCAATGAGATCCTTAACAATGTCAGGGTAACCCCTGCCCGCCGCCCATAACAAGGAAGATATATGAAAGTTTCCGTGCGCATTGACGTCAGCTCCTCGTGCCAGCAGCATCGTCACCGTCGGTGACCTACCCTTGTATGTCGCCCACATGAGTGCCGTCCACCCTCCCTAAAAATAGAATCATTTCTCTGAGCCTCTATTTACGGTGTTTTCCCTTTAAATCCCCGGCGATTCCATGAACACAATTTCCTTGAATTCTGAGAGGGCAAGAATAATTTCATTAAGGGAAAACGAGGTTACTTCAATGAATTAAAAAGTATCCTTAGCACGTGGGTAAGGAAAGGATTGAAAGTGGAAGATTCAAATTGAAGTGATCAGAACAGAAATATTTTGGACACTAGGAGGGACTTGTTAATTCCTAGAGCAATGTTTCCCAAACTTTTTTAGATCCTACACTATCTCAACGCGTTCAAGATCTCGATGCCGGCCTAGAACAACGGTAAACCATGTTCTGAGTTCAAGTTTAACATTAATAGCTGCTTCAGATAAAAAAGGCACATAGGTAAAAATGTTATCAATGAGGTGACGAATGTCAGTGATTTGCTAATTACACCCAAAATATTCAAATTGCCCCTCAGTGGGGCGTACAGACCATGCTGGGAAACACTGTCCTAGAAGGATCCATGTTCATAATAGGAGGATTGAAGGTCCTCCAAAACTATATTGGGAATCACTGTCGTAGAGGGATCCATGTTCAGAATAGGAGGACCAAAGGACTTCCAACACAATCATCAGCTGACGTACCATGTCTCTATGTTCCAAATCGGCCCCATGTTCAAGTAATTCAAGGCAGACATCGGTGTGACCCTCCTTTGCTGCGCACAACAACGCCGTCCAGTTGTCCTAAAAGTGAAGTGGATTGTAGTATCGAAATCAGAGTCGATAATTCAAGATTTATAATGAATACCAACCCCATCTTCGGCGTTAACGTCTGCTCCATGGTTGACGAGTTCTCGCACAAAGTGTATCCTTCCTTTACTCGCTGCAAGGATGAGGGCTGTGCTACCATTCTATTGTACAAACAATTAGATCGTCTAGCTAGAGTCAGACCGTTGATAAGACAGAATCAGTGGAAGAGAATTATCAATGTTTTGTTGACTAGAAACAAACACGATCACGCACTGATAAGATCTTCTGTGCAGTATACAGGTTCACATATATGAACGTGTCGACTTCAAATTTTTTTTAAAAACCTGTATCAGTGAACCTCGGTAATTGTACTATTCTTGTCAATTACTTGATTGCTTGGTTAACAAATAAAGTATTCATGAATTTTAAAGTATAATTACTAGTCTGGGAATCTTAGTTTAGGGCTGTTCCTTATTACATCTTATCCATATATGTGAGTTACTCTTATAAGAATGCACTGTTTCCTCGGTATAAGAGCGTCAAATGGGACTGCCAACGCGCTTATAAGGAGGGACGTATAGGATTTTAATTCAATTGGTATTAAATAACTTCACAGATGATATTTACTCTCAAGTTATTAAGTGTACAAGTAATCCACTATTCTCCCTTCTTAACCCTTTAACGTTCAGTGTGATATACACGTTACATCTAGAAAATCATATTTCCAGGGGTTTTGTCCTGAAAATACAGATAAGATGCACGTATTAGAACCATATTTTGGTTAACTAATCACGAGAAAACATTTTACCCTGTATGAGGTGTTTGGGCGTTAAAAGGTTAAAAATAAATGTTTACAAATTAAGAAATAGGTTTGTTTAACATTGATATTTTCGATTTCAAAATAACGAGACACATATCAGTCTTATAATTTTTAAATAAGGATTTAAGAGTCTGGGTATTAAAGGGTTAAACTGGTGATGTAGTTTAAGTCTTCTTTCGAAATGGTGGCGAATACTGAAGAACAAGACGACAAATATATTTAAAATGACAGAAACTTCCGATTTTTGGCAAAAATATGTATTTGACTGAATATAAGGGATTATATTCAATGGATTGGAATTGAATTTAACAAAATATAATGGATTACTTATTGCTATACCTTTTATAAAATTTTTATCCAGTCAATAAATGGGTCAGAGATAATACTCGATGAATAATCGTAAAAATAATCAGTATTCGTGAATCCACGAGGGGGGCCATATTTCTGGCGATTGTTTCTGGGATATCGTTACCTCGTCTCGGTCGTCGACCTGCACTCTCTTGTTCTCGAGGAAGTTCTGGAGACCAGCGAGGTTATCGTCTGTGATATAGCTGGTGAGAGATCGGTAGCAGAGCGATACCATCGAGTCCGTCCGATGCAGGGTCTACGAAACAAAAAGAAAAAAATAAAGAATACTTTTTACTACGTTCAGTCTTCGCAGCGAGGATATTTCTCGCCGAGTCATCAGTTCTCCACAATCAAAAACTGCGGAAGCAGATTAGTTGCTGAGCCAGGCGAGATTTGCAGCTTGCGGGATCGCGGAATTGTAACTCACGTGCGCGTAGCCATAATTATCGTATCGTTTTAGTATACATGTGCATCATAAATACGTATTTAATTGTAATATACAAGGTGTGTCGATAATTACGAACATATTAAGTTATTTCCACTGTTATCCAACTAATAAAGGTCAACATGGTTCGAAAATCTACTTCTGGTGTAGTTTCTTCATAAATTCAATAGCAACGGAAGTACTTTAATTGTTCGTAATTCATCGAACATCGTGAAATAATCAATTGACTTGAAGTTATGTATAGTCTGATGGACATAATTGTAGACGTAGTGTTACACTGAAAACAGTATTATTAATCGATAGCAAGTGTCGCCGTAACACAAATACTTTTCTCCTATTTATTCATAACAGGTTAAAATTGTTTATCACCTATAAAAAATACTCGTAATTTCCAATTCATCCTGTATTTTTCTATAAACTTCCAGCATTACATTCCTTTACACAAAGATTCCTAAATCTGTGTCCATCTTGTAATTACGCGTACCTAATAACATAAATTAGATCGTATTTACGTTAATCTCGGGCTAAAAATATATTTATCTTCAATCGGAACCGTGCGGGTGTTGTTGTTGGAAAGTTACTATTTCAAGATGGCGAAGATAGCATTGCAAAAAGGTAACGTCAGATTGGAGGGAAAATTGAGGAACGATTGATATTAATTAATACCAAGGTCGAGAGAGATTGCTCTTTTAAGGTGCCTCGATTCCATCTGACATTTCAATCCTCTTAACGGTTCCCCTCGTCCCGTGTACCAACGGAGCTACGACTGTCCGAGAATGATTCGAAAGGTGCACTTGAATCGTAATAAATGGTACCGTATAATTGTAAATATTCATGGTCGTGGGTGGAGACAGCGGCCTGCAAGTTTCGATTTAATGGAGCACAATAGAATGTAGGTCGACGATAAGGTATTAATCGGAGGAAACGTTGAATGAAAGGTAAACAACGACCGTCGAGAAATCTTCAACAATGTCCAACCTATTTTGCAATATCAACTTTTTTTCAAAGGGAACTTCAAGGTTCATCTCGTGTCTACGTTCCGTTAATCGAAAATTCACGAGCAAAAGTGACTGAAAGTTGACTTTTTATTTACTCTCAAGTTCTAATTTCAAAGGAAATTATTAGTAACTTTTTATACAGGGTATCCCAGTATTGATGGTATTCAGTATAATGTTATTTCAGTAACGTACTAATTATATTGCTTTCAGCACTTGTAATAATTAATTACAATTGTAGCGATGCAAAAGCGTGGAAATCCCACTCGAACGATTCCTCTTCGCTGAGCTTTAAGCGCCATGGCACTCCAATTACAAACCTGTTTTCCGTAGATATTCCAATAATATTGTTAACGGTAATCGTATTCGGGTAATATTGTTAAAATCGAACACACGAAACGCACAAAACAAACTTCAGCCGAACAAACACGTTGTTAATTGTTATTCGTGTGATTTAGATGAGATCCATAGTACATACCCCGATAAATTCCTCCGACTTGCGTGTATGTTTTACGTCATTTCGTTGACGTTAATTCGTGAACGAAACGCGAATTGGTGAAATCAATTCGAACTAGAGTCGCACAGAACACGACGTGTGTACCACACGATCGGTTCGTAAATGACGTTCGCCACCCGAAACGGTTGTTGTCGTTCCTTATCGGTGGAATTATCGCCGAACAATTAACAGACGTTATTTCCGTGCTTCATCGGTAACGCTCGAAATATGATGGAATTTTTTTTTTTTTTTAGAGAAAAAGAAAACTTACGTTCACATTGGTAGGAATCATTTTGGTGATAAGGTGCACCTAGAGTCCAAGAATGATTTTTTCTTATCGAAGAAGATAGATTCAGGTTGATTAATATAAGTTCGCTTGAAAGCTGTCTAACAAGAAATGAAACACGACAACTGTCCACCAGTGCAACGGAATGAATACAGACAGGACGATGAAGAAACAAATTACAATATCGTATTTTTGGCTTATCGATCGTGTGAAGTAATTGCCGTTTATCTGTATGCAAGATAATCCTTCGGACATCGTTTTATGGTAGTCTTTAGCGTCTTCCAATTTTATTCACGGTGCACAGTATGGTATTTTTCCAAACCAGCTAAATTTAATTTAAAAACAAAAATGGATATATGTATATTCTTTACTTATATCAAATCTTAAGGATTCCAGAATTATAAAAATTAACATTTACGTAGACATAAAGATACGATAGTACGTGTGTCAACAATTAAATGAATCGCAAATTTTTGCGAGCATGTTTTTGTGATTTGTAGGTATTGGTTGTAAATTGAAAATAACAATCACTGATAAAAAATAAACAAAAAAGTTACAGACCCAAGTAAACGATCACTCGAATTCACGACAGTAAGGTCGTATTTTCTGGCCCAATAAAAGATTTCCAAATATTCTAATGGCACTCGAGAGATCTCTGTGATCTGTACTTCTTCCTCGTTTCAATTTAAATCAATTGGTTCTTACGAAGAATCACGAACGAAGACGCAGTCAAGGCTGCGACGGAATGAATGGAGCAACGATTATTAGATCAATAGCGATCTCACGATGGAACGAAATGGTCGTTCGTTGAAAGACAGCCACGATACCACACTGCCAGGAACGTTGATAACACGATATTTACCGTGGGGCAATTGTTAAAGTATCGTCGCAGCGATTCATAGAAACTGTCTGTACGAATCGTACGGCGCGACGCGGAACACACAGCAGCAATAATTTATTCTGACTCGCTAAACCGCCGTTTCCACCGAAATTCCGTCCCGGAAATCCTGTATTAAAATAGCCGGGGAAAACGTCAGACTCGGTGTGTTGGGGGCATATATATATGCACTATCTTCGGCTGAATTCAATATTTAAGGTGGCTCACGCAAATTTTTAATTATTATAGATTTTTTGTTAAATTCTATTATAAATTTAGTTGAAAATTTAACAGAATATTCTTAAAAGCTTCAACTTTCGATTGCTTGCAAAAAATTGGAATTGGAAGGTCCAAATTGTCTTAGAGACGAAAAAAAAAAACAAATGACTGATTTTAAATGATAATTTTGACTTTTCATTTTAATTTGAAGTAGGGTCTCATATTAGGAGCAGTTTTTCAAAACTACTAAATTTGTACTTCTTTATATTTTCACTATTTTCCTAATAAACAGTAGCAGATTGTGAAATTAATATTGTTCCTAAGTATGCAGACATTAATAGCAAATATATTAGCATAAACACTGTTAATTTTTCCTTTTCTATTGCCTGATATTTAATCAACATAAATGGGGTCTCATATCTGGTGCCGTTACCCTATGTATTGCTTGCAAAACTGCAAAACTGCTCAAATTTTACGCGACAACGTCGTTCGATAAAAACAGAATTCTTCTTGGAACTCCGATAATGATCGGACTGCATTTATTACCACGATAATCCTCGAATAAGCATTATTCTTATTTCTCAAGAAATTTTCGATAGTGACTTAATCTTTATGCACAATTACAATACGCGTTAAATTTCATCGAAAAAAAAAACGAAGTAACGAAAAGATCATTGTTACAATGATTCGTGAATTAGTCACAGTTGTTGATCGAAGATTCTTGAACAGAAAATATATCACAATTAAAAATCTAAACTTCTCTATCTCCGTAAACAAGATACAGCAGGTATGATAGACCTCCTATTACGCATATGAACAGTATCGGATAAAATTCTAACAACTACGCCATAATAATTTTTTTTAAATGTATTTCTTTAGCATTTTCTATGTTGTCCTTGTCCTTGTAACATCGAGCCAGACTCGTAGTGAACGTTTCAAAATGAATTCAATAAACGTGAATATTATTTGTTTTTTTTTTTAGTCGAAGTGAAACATTACTTCGGTGGTATTAATATTTAATCCACAGATAAATTTCTTTTCTTGTAAAAAAATTTAATATTTTTTAATTTTCAAAAACTCTATAACCATTTAATTTTGTATAAAAATGTTATTTTTGTTATTAAATAAGAAGTGATTAACTTCTCAGAATCAACTACAATTCCATAAGGCTCGTGTTAAAACGAAATTTTTATAATGTTTCTTTTTCAATAATTTTATGAAAATTGTAGCATTTAAGAATGTCCTGTTATATTTTCAACTAAATTCATAATTATTAAAAATTTGCCTGAGCCACCTTAAGAAGCTAAAAACGAATGTTTACACACATCAACATCAATACTAATTTCTCCCTCCAAAGGTCCCTAAAATCCACACCAAACAGCCCACCAACAAATCCAGTCAATCTCCCTAAAAAGAAAAAAAAAACAATGCTATCCTAGATCAAAGTATCCCAGCAGTCCAAGAGGTTCACTGATCCAAGCACCACCAGCCGTTCAAACTCGTTGGGTTAAGCGAACACCAGGTTAATAAAACACAAGAAAACAAAAAACCACAACAGGTCTAGTTCGTTAATGGAAAGCCAGACCGATCCACGGGTCGACTAACCGTCTGCGAGTGTCTCCGTATGCCGAAGTTGAATTTCCGCCCGGACTCGCCATCGCCCGCCGAGGCGGTGAACGTGATCGTGGGCACGTGGAAATGCGGGAAAACGTGGTGATGGTGATGATGGTGATGATGATGATGGGAATACTCTTCTCCAGGATCATCTGGATCCTCCGAAATATTGGACGGTTGATGTTCTGGTATATGAAGACGCAGAAATGGGGGTAACTTGAGTCTCAAGCCGCTGCTCTTCTCGGCCCCGTGGCCCGATGTCGAGCCATTGTTCCCATCAGCAGATGGTAGCAAACAATTCGGTATACCTGGGCAGGCGCTGAT